ACTCTTACAGTTCTCTAACTCACTCTTTGATCACTTTTTAAGCCATACACAGTCTCTCTGTCTCTCAGACTCCATCCACCAGTCTTTTTATCCTCCTCCCTCCCCCTGGCTCCGCCCTCCGTTCACTCATTGGCTCCTGCATCAATGTTCTGCGGTGACGGGCAGGTGAGGTCAGGGCTGTTCGCTACACAGAGGGGTTCCTGTAAGAGGGAGAACCCAAAGATTTAAAGATCTAAATAAAGAAGTTTTATTAGCCAACAAAAAATTTCAGATAATCTGGACTATGCAAATTTTGCATAAACAGCAGATAAAAGCAGATGAAGAATGTTGCAAATGATTGTATGAATTTGACAAACCATCCAGTGTTGTATTTGTTCTGTTTTTAAAACTGTTTATGTGAGCACTCACCCTTCGTGTTTTGTGTTTTGATGCCTGTTTTTGGAGCTTGCCATAATTTGCAATTTAAGAGAATGTGATGGAAAAAGCTAAAATGCTTGCCTGTTGTAAGATTAATGAGCATATGGAAAGCTTTCCCAGTTTGTTATTTTGTGCAGTCAGTTAGAGCAGCAATGATGAGAAGGGAAGCAGATGATGGTTACCATGACCTGTGAGGAAATTTTGTGGGGGATGATAACCCTTCTCAGGACCAAACGAATTATGTGGTCAGTGATGATGGCAATTAAATTCCTGTGGTGCAAACACAGGGATTGGCAAGTGGACTGGGGTGAGCTGTTGGTGGCATGGGACATGGTCATACTCAAGGAATAGAAACCAGCACCCAGCCCAAGATGGAACAGCACGTCCCCACACAGCCAACTGGGAGCTTGGAGCAGGTGATGCAGGAGTTACTGACCATGTAGATGAAGGTGGATAAGGAATCAAGAGGCTCATCCAGAGGGGAAACGGGAGCTGCTGAGACACCAGGCTATAGAACAGGCTGAGCGAAAGCAGGATGTTTTACATGTTGACTGGAGACTTCTGCCTACATACCAGTCACCTCAGGACATTTAATCGTTTCTAACAAACTTTCAAAAGTTGTGAAGGCCTTCAGATTTCACATTCTCATTGACCTAAGTTAATGAGAACATAGGTGTCTGGACAGTTAGCTGATTTCTTAGCAGAGCTGGCTGTGGATATTTCCTGGACAGGTTTGTAGACCTTGTCAAGCAAAGGTATGGATATACCCCAGAAGGTCTTAGAGCTGAATTTAGAAGCATTCGCTGGAGGAAAAGGGGAGTTTTTCTGCTCCAGAAAAGACAGAGGGAAGCCCCAAGAAGCTAGATTTAACAATCATGATAACGACGACAATGTGAAAGGTGATGAAGTACAGCTTTAGCTGCCTGGTGAGTCACATGGGCAAATCCACTGACAAGAAATCAGAATGTTAAGGACTACAAAATATGCAATTCCACCACACACAAAAAAACCCCAACATTTTGATCAAGATCACTGCTTCTTTAAATGTATGCTGGGGCATTTGAAAGATCAGTCTGTTGTTTCTCAAACACAACCAACCAAATGGTAATATGGGCACATGCCAAGGGAAGTGCTGGAAATGAAGAAAAGTTCCAGATTGCAAATGGGCCTCTAGGGGACAGCCAACATAGAGAGATAGTCTATCAAGATTTCCAGAGCTGTATTCTTTAATCCCAAACCCTTTGGTGGTTTCTTGTAGCACTTAATCAAATCTTAGAATTGCAGAGCTAATTTCAAACTAATTTGAAAGATAGCCTGAGCTAAGTTTAAACATGGACATTATGATGTCGTAGAAGATGTCACAAGCAGGACCAGGTTGAGAGTCTTGGCCAGCTGGGAAACAGTTAATTGTCAGACTAAGGCTAAACACTGGCAGGATGTTATGACAGGTAAGGGCGTTATTCATTTGGAGCTACATACTTCAATACTGGATAAGATGGCTTTCTGGGCCAACAATATAGGGCCTGACCACACTGGCATATAGATTGGTACATGGATCACAGATAGTACAGTTTGGTGTGAACGAAATGGCATTGTCCACACGTGTTTCTACCTGGATCACTCCATCCTGCCTCTTTAAGAGCTTTGCGCACCTTTCTGGCACATCACTAGGGCATGTATTCTTTTTGGAACAATTCAGCGTGGTCCTAATTAGCTCACTGTGTAGCCTGCATGGATGGTTAGCTCATACCCAAATGGAGCTGTGGGTTATGATATCTGAAATGACAACTCTGTGATGTAATAGGAGGATTATTATTTGGTTGAAACGAACAGCTCTTGTGCAAGATAAAGCTGGGATGGTTTGCATGGTCTGTTAAAATGGAGGATGGAACAACTCTTCCCCTCTCTTATCATCTTCCTTTTTATTGTAATGTTTCCCTAACTGATGCAGCAAAATTCTCGTACTATGCTAGGTTGATGCATTGCTCATTACTTGCTTTAATTGACCAAACAACAACAAAAGGAAAGCCACTGAAGCTGGCTGAATGAGAGCTTGAAGAAAAGGCAGGAAAGGGGGCTATGTGGCTTCCATGGGCTCTACCCCTACAAAGCAGTTCAGCCCCAAAAGAGCCACTGATGAGAAGAAAGGCGGGGTTCTTGCCATTCCTTCTCCCTCCTCTCACGTCATCTGCAAACTTGGCCACCTCACTCTTTAGCCCTATCCCAGGGCAGATCCCAGGGGCACGCTGCTCTTCACCTCTCTTGGTTAAACATTTGTTGTTGTTGTTGTTTACTTCTTCAGTCATGTCTGACTTGTTGTGACCATATGGACCACAGCACGCCAGGCTCTCCTGTCTTCCACTGCCTCCCAGAGTTGGGTCAAATTCATATTGGTCAGTTCGATGACACTGTCCAACCATCTCATCCTCGGTCGTCCCCTTCTCCTCTTGCCATCACACCTTCCCAACATCAGGGTCTTTTCCAGTCTTCTCTTCTCATCAGATGGCCAAAGTATTGGAGCCTCGGCTTCAGGACCTGTCCTTCCAGTGAGCACTAAGGGTTGATTTCCTTCAGAATGGATAGGTTTATTCTCCTTGCAGTCCAGGGGACTCTCAAGTGTCTCCTCC